TATATATATATATATATATATATATATATATATATATATATTACATTATTGAACCATAGTTAAAAGAGTAAATAGAAGATAATAAGGGGTCTGAATTCTATAAAGATGGTAGAACACATTCTCATGTGTATCTCATAAATAAAGAAGTAAAAGAGATAAATAGGGAATTATTTTTAAGATAGAGGAAGAGAGAGCTTTACATTGTAGAACTTCTAAGACGGGGTACGGTGGCTGTATTTTATCAGCACAACAAGGTGTTTTGATGATGATGCAAGGGTTTTGATGGCTACAAAAGTTAGGCATATGGGTCAGGTTGATATTGAGCTACGTGGACGTGAATGGTATTAGGGTTTTGTGGGTTGTGATAGGATTAACGATGAATGTCGAAGGAGGAGATGAAGAGTCGGAAGGGATACCCTTTTGGAAAAAAGAAAAAGGAAACAAGAAAAGAGCGATGGTTAGTGCTCGACAATTTGCAACGTTTCTACTAGGGTTGGGGCCGTCTCCCTACATACTCAAGAATCCAGCCCTATACATATATAGAATTAATGGCAACTTAGGTCTTGAAATGATTTTATGATAAAACACGGTGTATATGTTTAAAAAAAGAAAAATATTTCTACACAATGTATAATTACAACCACACCACTCTTGAAATAAAATAAAATAAAATAAAATTTAATAAAATAAAATAAAATATATTCCTATAGGCAAGATCACTTACCATTACAATCAAACCACTCTTGAAATAAATAAAATAAAATAAATTCGATTATCAATTGCTACATCTTCAAATACAAGTTTTTATTCAACAAACAAAACTAGAATTTATTGCTTTATGGGAAGAAAAGACCAAAACATATATAAATATTTTAAAAGGTAAAATTGCCAGTCGTATTCAACAAACAAAACTAGAATTTATTGCTTTATGGGAAGAGAAGACCAAAACATAAATAAATATTTAAAAATGTAAAATTGCCCAAGATTACCTTAACCGGGCTCAGCTTAGTACACCTATTGGAAAAAATCCACTCAATGGTGATTGGTATCAGTATGTAAATTTCCGTAAAAATCCACTCATTGGCTTAATCTTGATTAAATCTCTTAGCTTGATTTTAAAGAGATGAGAGATGGATATCAAGAGAGAGGGAGAAATCTATTAGCAAGGGATTCCACCCCTTTGCCTCCCAAAAAAACATCACCTAGGTGTAGGCGTGCCACGCAAAGAGGAAAGAGGTAGCCTATACCACCCAAAATACCCAAAGAGGTAATACGTATTACCCAAAACAACGTACTTGGAGAGAGAGAAAAAAAATTTGAGCGTACCTCCCCTTTCGGAATAAACTTGGAGAGAGAAAAAATTTGGGCAAAAAAAATTTGGGCGTGCCTCCCTTTGGGAATCAACTTGGAGAGAGAAAAAAATTTTAACTTGGAGAGAGAAAAAAATTAAGGTGGGGAGAGAAAAAAATTTGTACCAATAATATAGGGAGAGAGCTAAATTTAATAAGTATTTTAAATGGTAAAATTGTCAGAGATTACCTCAACTATATTCAACCAACAAAACTAGAATTATTGGGAGAGAAGACCAAAACACAAATAAATATTTTAAAAAGTAAAATTGCCAGATGTTACCTCAATCGAGTTCAATGGCTTAATCTCGATCAAGTCTCTTAGCTTGATTTAAGAGAGATGAGAGATGGATATCAAGAGAGAGGGAGAAATCTACTAACAAGAGATTCTACCCCTTTGGGTGTCCTAGCTTGATTTTAGAGAGATGAGAGATGGATATCAAGAGAGGGAGAAATCTACTAGCGAGGGATTCCACCCCTTTGCCACCCAAAAAACCACCACTTAAGTGTAGGGGTGCCATCCAAAGAGGAAAGAGGTAGTACATACAACGTGGAGAGAGAAGAAAATTTGGGTGTGCCTTCAATTTGGAATCAACTTGGAGAGAGAAAAAAATTTGTGAACTTGGAGAGACAAAAAAGTTTGGGCGTGCCTCCCCTTTGGGAATCAACTTAGAGAGAGAAAAAAATTTGTAACTTCGAAGAAGAAAAAAATTAACGTAGAGTGAGGAAAAATTTGTGCCAGGAATATAGGGAGAGAGCTAAATTTGGGGTAGGGTAGGGTAGGGAGAGAGCTAAATTTGGGGTAAGGAGAGAGAAGATTCTTAAGAAGAAAATGTGTTAAATTTGGGGTAGGGTAGGGTAGGGTAGGGAGAGAGCTAAATTTGGGGTAAGGAGAGAGAAGATTCTTAAGAAGAAAATGCTTATGTAATTTTATGAAGGGGAGACCTAATTTTATATATGTTCTATGCTATAGATTTTGTCAACCAATCTTGATACAATTATTTAGTAAATAACTACCATAATCAACCTTATCACATAAGTTGGCTATACGTAAAAAGATAAGTGATGAGGATAAACAAATATTTCGTAACTATTAACAATAGTCAAGCTTATCATATATGGTTGGTTATACCTACAAAAGATAAGTAAAC